CACACACCGCGTCTATTGCGGCTGGAAACGCAGTCGCTAATACCAGCTTCTTTGGGATCGGCAATGGAACGGTGAGAGGTGCAGTTCCAGCTTCTAGAATCGCTGCTTACAGAGTCTGCGCCGGGGAATGTAGAGATGATGCAATACTGTCTGCGTTCGATGACGCCATCGCCGATGGTGTTGACATCATCACCATCTCTATAGGTGATATTAGTGTGTACCCGTTCGAGAAAGACCCGATCGCAATTGGAGCTTTTCACGCTATGTCCAAAGGAATCCTCACTGTGAACGCGGCTGGTAACACTGGTCCGGATACGGCCTCAATCACGAGCTTAGCACCGTGGATGTTAACCGTTGCAGCCAGCACAGCGAACCGTGAGTTTGTCAGCAAAGTGGTTCTCGGTGACGGAAAGACACTTGTCGTATGTATCAAGTAACACTCTCATTTTCTGTTATCATAGTGTATCTTTAATTTGTCCTTTAAAATAACAATTAATGACTCTTTTTTTTTCTTTCTTTTTTTCCTATAAGGGAAAATCAGTGAATGGTTTTGATCTCAAAGGAAAGAAGTTCCCTCTGGTGTATGGAAAATCTGCTGCTTCGTCTCCCTCACAAGTGGAATGCGCCAAGTAACTTTCTACACAAGAAATACAGTTTGTGACCTAGAAATACTTTTATATTTCTGATTGGTGATGATGAGATTTTTTCTCTATAATTTATTTTCAGGGATTGCACGCCAGATTGTCTTGACGCATCCCTGGTGAAGGGAAAGATCTTGGTGTGCAATAGATTTTTTCCCTACGTAGCCTATAAAAAGGGAGCTGTTGCAGCCATTTTTGAAGATGATTTAGACTGGGCCCAAATCAACGGTTTACCTGTATCTGGCTTACAAGAAGATGACTTTGAGTCTTTCCTCTCTTACATTAAGTCCGCAAAGTAAACAGTTATCTTCTATCTTTTGAATCATACACTTTTTTTTGTGTGTGTATAAGTTTCTCTTTATTCTCATTTTTCTTGGGGTTGAATCTTTAGGTCCCCAGAAGCGGCTGTTCTAAAAAGTGAGGCAATCTTTTATAAGACAGCTCCTAAAGTTCTTTCCTTCTCTTCTCGCGGTCCAAACATCATCGTTGCTGATATTCTCAAGGTATTATATGATATGTATTGGTTATGCTTAGATTGATCTCTCATTTTTTCGATCTGAGAAAGTGGTGAAAATGCAGCCGGATGTAACAGCACCAGGACTGGAAATTTTGGCTGCAAATTCACCCAAGGCATCACCGTTTTATGACACCACTTGTGTGAAATACTCTGTTGAATCCGGAACTTCAATGTCTTGTCCACACGTTGCAGGCATAGCCGCCTACATCAAGACGTTTCATCCTAAATGGTCCCCTTCCATGATAAAATCTGCCATTATGACAACAGGTCAAGAGAAAATTCTATCTTCAGTAATAAATCATACTTTCTTGTCTCGCAAGAAAACCATCAAATTTTGTTCATGCTCTGTTCTTCTTTGGTATTCTTAATATCTCACAGCTTGGTCTATGAATGCTTCTCAATCTGACTATGCATCAACCGAGTTTGCTTATGGAGCTGGTCATGTAGACCCAATAGCTGCTACTAATCCTGGACTCGTCTATGATTTAACCAAAGGAGATTACATTGCCTTCCTCTGTGGCATGAACTACAATAAGACTACCGTGAAACTAATCTCCGGTGAAGCCGTCACTTGCACTGAAAAAATATCACCTAGAAACCTCAACTATCCATCAATGTCGGCTAAATTGTCGGGATCTAATATCTCCTTCACCGTCACTTTCAACAGAACCGTCACCAACGTCGGTACCCCAAACTCTACATACAAATCAAAAGTGGTCTTAAATCACGGAACTAAGCTCAACGTCAAGGTCTCACCTAGTGTTCTATCTATGAATTCGATGAACGAGAAGCAGTCTTTCACGGTGACTGTTTCGGGAAGCGAGCTCCATTCAGAACTGCCTTCGTCTGCAAATCTAATTTGGTCTGATGGAACTCATAATGTGAAAAGTCCCATTGTTGTTTATACTGGTGACTTCTCACCACCATCCTCATCATAAACCATTATTGTTGTTGTTATAATCATTCAATTTTGGATGTCTAAGAACATTGAATAAGATAATTCAACTGTTGTGTTTTTATCTCATCGGACATGTTCTTCTTATTGTCTTTCCCGATTTTGGAATCGTCAAGTACGTTGATCCGCGTTATGAAACCTAGAAATTATCAGCTTCGTTATCATTTCACCTTGACCCTCGCAAGCAGTAGTGGCTACGGACTTGTACCTCATGAAAGGGAGAAGGAGGAAGAAAATAAAGAGGGTTTTGAGGTACTCTGATACCATATGAATGTGTGAAATAATTTGTTTGTCACACAACTCACAACTTACAAGTTACAATAGCTTATAAGCACAATTAAGATAATATATCATGACATAAATATACAAAATATTGGATTGGAAATTAGAGAGATGTGACGCGATTAATGAATGTGAATTAGCAATTCGTATCTCTCGACAGCCACAATATTAATACCTTGTTTTACCATATAAATTTTTTAAAATTTTTTGTAATAAATAAGAATTGTGATGAGGTGAGATGTTAGAAGTAATGGCCTCTTGATTATTATATATTGAAATAATAAATTTTTCGTGTTTTTTTTTTTAAATAAAGGGTATGATAGTTTTTTTATATTGGAATAATAGTTTATGCATGTTTTTTTTATCACAAAAGAAAGAGGTCTATATATGCATGTTTTCCTTTGATTTAAAAGCATAACACATGTCATGAACTGAAAAAGAAAACAATGTCATGTTATGGAGAGGGAAACTTTACAGTTATAGTTTCGTTATCAACTCTAATCGACAAAAAAAAAAAGAATGATTTAGTCAACTCTTTGTTAATTTTCATTGATCTCTGTTAATTAAGTTTCTAGCCTTCTTCTTTAGGGCGAGCTGATTTTAGTGGAGTAAACGAACTTACGCCAGAAGGCCCAAAACTAACAAACAATCAAAATGCTGTTTCGAAATGTAAAGAGTTTTCGGCGAAAAATCTTCTGCCTAACCATGCGCGCTTACACACAAAGCGGATTCTAGCACTTTGGAAGCCCAAAAACAAATATTGTTTTTAAGTTAAAATATATAATATAATGCTTCATATGTTCTAAACATAATATAGTGTATACATAATATATTCAATTGATAAAACATTTCAATTTTACCACAAACATCTAGTTCAATTTTAAAGATATTGTAAACAAAAAATATAAAAAAAAATAAGAAGAATTTTACATAAAATAATATAATTTAGAAATGGATCCCTTTTACAAATAGATACAGTAATCAATATAGAGAAAAAAATTGTTTTACAATGATATAGAAATTAGGTAAAACACGGAACTAAAAAGAAGAAGAAGAGTTTATTGATAGAACGAAAATGTATGATATAACTTGATAAGTGTCAAACTGTGACATGTTCACCACTATACTTAAATATCAATGTCAAAATAAGACCTCAAACACAAAAACAAAAAAAAAACTGTGCCGTAGACGAATGTTTCTTGTTTATAAAGGTGGGCACGACTCTGCTTACACATATCACATGGTTCGTTAGTTCTTGAAAACGAAAAAATTACCCAAACAATGAACGTATATCACACTTTTTTTTTTTTTTTTTTTTTTGCTATTGAGAATCTTTAAACATATTTACTTCCAATAGATTTTCAGATGATCAGATGACAGAATTTTCAAGTTTGTAAGAAAATCTTCAATTTATTACCGGTGTGATTTTTATTAATTTTGCTTTATTTAAGCAGTAATTTAGTCTAAAATAAATGTACATATGATTTATTTCTATACTCCAAACTTTCATATATTACACTTTTATGAAGTATATGTGTATGGAAGTATTTTTAAAATGTCTTAATATATTTATATTATTTTATAGTAGCAAGTTTGAACACTAATTATAATATTTTTAATATCCAAAAAATTATAAAATATTAATATCCTTAATGTATAATCAAAGAGTTAGATAATGTAGCTCATAAAACTGCAATTTGTGAGGAATTTAACACATCCACATGTTAATAAAAAGTGCAATATATCAAACAATATATCTTATTTGGTAGAAAAACTATAAATGGAGTCGAAACTGGCCAAGTTATTGTGGTGGAAAAAACGTGATATTATGGAAAATATCAAAAATAATGTCAACAAATTAAATAAAACGTAACTGAATTATGAAAATTTATTTATAATTAATTGTCCACAACCCAAGTAATCATTTAGTGATTTACTGTTATTCTTTAAACAAGGTAAATACATTAACTGGATATACCTTAGTAATAGCATCGTTAGTCCTTAAAAATGGCTAAATACACTGACTGGATATAACTTTCATGTGAACGATGTGTAACGTCCATTCACCATATCAGCTAATTAAACTGCTATTAAATTAACTTCTAATATAATTATACCACGTGGCAAATAATATACAGTATATTCGTTTTTTCCTTCTTATTGTCATTAATGTTTGGTATATTCAACAAGAAAAACAATTCAATTGTAGGTCAAAGAACACAATTCAATTGTAATATTTGTGATTTTCTTCCTGCTATTTTATTGACTAAGAAAATCGGAAACTAATTAAAGAGAAACTAATCCAAAACTTTATTCTTTTCACTAATTGAGTTCATATTAACCGTGAGTAAATAGATTCCTAGATAGATATGAATCCTAAGACTGTAAGCAATGTTATCATTTAATTGATACAGATATCATTAATTAGGGTAAGATATAATTTGATCTTATTTATAACAATTTATAGTATCAAACTATCAATTAAAGACAAAATCAGAGGACTTGAGTTAGATTCTTTTAATTTGACGCGGTGCATGTATTATCTCTCCTATATAAAGATCTTTTCATGTACATCATAATAGACACTAAAAATTCTTCATTTTATTTTTAAAAAAATGGCGACACTAGCAGCTTCCTCTTGCCTCCTCTCATGTCTCCTTGTTTTGTTCTTGAGTTCAGTTTCAGCAGTCACAGATGATGATAAACAGGTATAGTTATCATCGATGATTCATATCATTATTAATTTATTATGATGATATGTTGATTGTCCATGTGATCACCCGTTATATAATGATGATAATGCTTATGATGTATGATCCATGAAGGTATATATTGTCTACATGGGCTCACTTTCGTCTCGAGCGGACTACACACCAACGTCCGATCACATGAGTATTCTTCAAGAGGTCACCGGAGAAAGGTGTGTTTTGATTAATTCATTTCTCTAATTTATAATCAAATTTCTAATATTTTTATTTCGGAGATTTTAATACGTGATATATTTTCTAGTTCGATCGAAGGTCGTTTGGTGAGAAGTTACAAGAGGAGTTTCAACGGTTTCGCGGCCAGGCTCAGTGAGTCAGAACGAGAAAAAGTTGCCAGTGAGTGTTCTTCGATCGAGACACACTTTATGTTGAAATTGATTCTAAAGGTTAAACAATTAAACTCTTTTGTGTTGTTCTTAGAAATGGTGGGAGTTGTTTCTGTATTCCCAAATAAGAAGTTACAACTTCAAACGACGACGTCTTGGGACTTCATGGGGTTAAAGGAAGGAAAGAAGACAAAGAGGAACCCTACCGTGGAAAGTGATACAATTATTGGAGTTATCGACAGTGGGATCACGCCGGAATCTCTGAGCTTTTCCGACAAAGGCTTTAATCCTCCTCCTAAGAAATGGAAAGGTGTTTGTTCCGGCGGCGAAAATTTCACATGCAACAAGTAATTACTCTTAAGTTAATTTCTCTCCTTAAAGAATAGAATTGTTTCGTACAAAAAAATAAATTATTATTGTTTTTAGTATTGTTGGTCGAGGTTAACCTTAGTTTTGAAAAATGAAATCTGTTTATAATATTTCAGCAAGTTGATTGGGGCAAGAGACTACACAAGCGAAGGTTCTAGGGACACGGAAGGCCACGG